CCTGCCAGCCTCCATCATTTTTAATTTCAGCCATTGTTTTCTTTTTTTGTTTTTTTTTTGTTTTTGTTTTTGTTTTTGTTTTTTTACTTTTTGAGAGAGATTTTTGCTATAGGAAGTGTGCTGGAGAGACAGAGACAGAGAGACAGAAAGTAAAAAATCCCCAAGGGGGATAGCTATGCTGTAACCCCTTTTCCTCCATTCTCCTCTCAGGATTTTGGGGCACGCATGCACATGTGCCTGGCACGTTGGCCCAGGATGCAAACCGCAGTCAACTACCTGGGAGTCAGTGAGATAACCATTACGTTATCTGCTTGTCCCTGATTTGAGCCATTCTAATAGAAGTGCAGTAATTTCTCATTATGTCTGAATTTGCACCTCTTTACTGGCAAATGATCTTAGACATCCTTTCATGAGCTTATTTGGCATTCGTATGTACCCTTTGGTGAGTAGAAATTTAGGTTTTCTTTATATAGGTCTCACATATTTCTTATTTTGTATAGATTTTTTTTCCTCCTTGAATTTTTCTTTTCTCTCTCTCTTCCTTCCTTTCTTTCCTTTCTTCTTCCCTCTTTCTTCTTATTTTTTTTTCTTTCTTGTTTTTGCTACTGGACGTATGAGCTCGCTGGGCAGAGAGTGGGAAGGGTGAGAAATCATGCTCTAGTGGAGATGGTCACACCTCAATTTCTTTTCCTCCATTCTCCTCTTGGAATTTGAGTATGCACACGCTAGCGCCTGGAATAGTTTTCTAGCCACTGGGTCCAAGACTTGAAACTGCACAATTGTCCACGTGGGATCCAGCCACTTGATCATCACACTGCCAGCTGGCCCCCTCCTTGCTTTTGTTACTAGGGTTTTAAAACATTTTTGCGGGGTCGGCAGGTGGCATGGTGGTTAAGGGCACTGGACTCCCACGTGGCCGACTGCGGTTCAAGTCCTAGACCTGGTGACTTGCTTTCTCACTTTATCTCTCTCTGTCCTTGCTTGTCAAATGAAAATAACTAACTAACTAACTAAAGTTTAAAAAAAAAAAACCACTTTTGTTGGGACCAGCAGATGGTGTAGCGGTTATGTCACTGGACTACCACATGGTCAACTGTGGTTCAAGTCCTGGACCTGGTGACTTGAAACTCATGCTGGGCATGTGTGCATACATGCCCAAGATCCTGGGAGGAGAATAGAAGAGAAGGGATTGAGGTGGTCATTCCCCCTGGGAGGTGATTTCTCAGTTCCCCTCTCACTGGGTCTGTCTCTGTCTCTCTCCCCTGGGCAAGTGTGCATGCCCTAAGGCAAAAACCTCTAAAAGAAAAGAAAAACAATTTTGCTTGCCAGAGGTCCTGAGTGCTGCTAGAGAGAGACAGAGATACAGAGAGAAGGAGAAAGCACCCCCTGTGGGGCATGGTCACATTGCAATCCCTTCTATTCCATTTTCTCCATCCCCTCCTGATTTGGGGCACATGCATACACATGCCCACTGTGTTTCTCAGGCCACCAGGGTTGGGATTCTAACCACCTAGTCAGCCATGTCGAATCCAGCTCTTTTAACCACTAGGCTATGGGGCTGGCCTAATGATTAAGGTCTATTTAATAATGCTATCTTCTGGGACCACGGCATAATGGTTATGTGGCTGGACTCTCATGTAGTTGACCATGAATTGAGTCCTGGACCCAGCAGCTTAAAACTCACACCGGCTGTGTATATGCACACACCCAAAATCCCAACAGGAGAATAGAGGAGAGGGGACTGTAGCATGGCCATCCCCCTTGGGGGGTGATTTCTCGCTCTCTGTTTCTCTGTCTCTCTCTTGTGTCTCTGGAAAGTGCAGACATCCTTTAGCAAAACCTCTCTTAAAAAATACTAAATAACTAAATCTTCCATTTAGTTATTGTTCTGTTTTTATTTCCTGGAGGGTACATGTGCTCACCAGAGAGACAAAGGAAAAGAGAGAGGAAGAGGGGGAGAGTGGAAGCCCTCACATGGGGAATGATTACACTGGAATCTTGTCTCCAATGGATTTTTTTCCTTTCACAATTTTGGGTATGCACACATATGTGCCCTGTGGGTTTTTTTTTTTTTTAATTTTTTAGTTTATTAATCCTCTCATGAAAAATCCGCACAATCACCGCAGATAGTCATTGCAGAATCTTTACTCCTTCGACTTTTTGCCAGCACCAACATTGGCCTTTGCAGTTCCCCTGACTTTCTTCATTCTGTTCTTGCGTTCCTTTCGCTGTTTTCTTGACGTCTTTTTCTTCTCATAAAGG